CCCCCGTATGATGGTCAACATCTTAAAATTTGAGTGGGTGCTTTTTTGGGGGGGGCCTGGTAATAAAAATTTGGGATGGGGCCCCCCCCCCCCCCCCCCCCCCCCCCCCCCCGAGGCCACGGAGACATCCCATTACTCCAGCACAGCCAGGCTCAGCTCCCCAGAGTTCAGACTTTGCTTTAAGCCTGGAATTTAGTTTTCTAAGCTTCTCATTCTCCAGAAGTACAGGAGAATTACACACCATCACCAATCCCTCTCTCAATTACGGAGAGTTTAGAGGTAAGAAATCAGCAAAAATAAGATTTAATTAACAAGACCAATAGGCTTGACATAAGGAACCCATAAGAATTCTACAACCAACAATTGGAGAATATTCTCAATAATCCTGTAACATTTTCAAAAATTGAGGGTGAATGGAGCTATGATGGAATTTCAGAGAATAGAACTCAGGCAAACACGATCTCATCACCTTCTGTCTGAACTGGAAGACAATGATAAGACGAATGAAAAAATTAGTATGTATCTAGAAAAAGTTTTAAAATCTTCTAAATAATAGGTCAGAGGAAAACAATCATACTGGCAACTCAAAAAATATTAAGCAAATGGTAACAAAAACATTATATATCAGAATTTGTGGAGTGCAGCCCAAAATAGTGCTTTAGAGAAACGTGTATCTTTAAATGAATTTATTGCAAAAGAAGAAAGGCCAAAAATTAATTTGAGAAGTTATCAAAAAGATAACAAGAAACTCAAGTTAATGAAATGATTTTAAAAAACCCACAAATACGAAGTAATTTGTCTGCAGAAAGGAGCATTTGATAAAGCTTGAAAATAATTCACAGTAAAATCTTCAGTAATCCTCTGGATATACAAGATTAGCTTTCCGGGTGAGAAAGCCTATTTTAGGCAAGATGCACACAGGCTTAATCATAAAAGATTAATAAATTCAACTACCTCAAAATAAGAAAATCTACTCATCAAAAGATTTAATAAACTATAATGATAAGCTGCAAACTGGAAGATGTTGTTTACAAATTATGTAGCTGAAAAGAAGTAGAATTTTCAAAATATGTATAAAGAGTTTCAAGAAAAATGTAAGCAACCCTGTAGAAAAGACATGGAAGGTGGTTCACAGAGGAGGAGATGTAGGGCTGGTCTCACCGGAAGTGTGGATGTGTGGAAGTGTGGATGAGAGAACCTTGCATATCCACCAAGCAGCAAAAATAAGAGGCCCAGCAACACCCAGATGTCAGACAGGATGGGCCCAGGGGGTGTCATACCTTGGTGGTGAGAGTCACGACTTTGGGGACCAGCTTGATTACCTTGTGAAACTGGGACATTTCCACATCCTGTGATGTTACGTGCAATTCCAATGCTGTGGTACAAGGAGGAGAAATTTCAGCAGGTGGGTACCAGGTGACAGCGCCAGAAAGGTCAAAGCACACTCTCCATTACAGCCAAAGATTGGAGGTTACTTCATGCCGTCCTCTTAAGCATGAATAAATTGAGATCTTAGTGCTGAAGTGACAAAGACTGAACAATGGCTTGAGAGCGTTAGAAACATCAGTTGAGTGGAAACGATGGAGAAGACAGCCGTCAGCGTGGTCACTCCCTCTCTTCTTTAGATCAAGAGCAAATGAAACTAAATCGCATATTTTGGACATTTTTTTTTGATAATTCAGGCTTTTAATTTCCATAATATTTAGTGTTCAGTAGTTTCAGCTGAATATTTAAATATCCAACATAATTTTATGTCCCACTTATACTATTCAGTGTTTGCATACAGACTGCAAATATTATAAGAGACATTATAGACTAACACTTATAGTATTTTCCAGAATAATGACTTTGGTTTTGAATAAAAACTGGAGCATTTGAGCTTACCCCTCCCCCTGCCTCCTTTTCCCTAAATTCTTCATTCTAAGAAGTCATTAGAGATTGAATTTAAAATAAAAATAACAACTTTGTAAATGTTAACAAAAAGGGGTTGTTTTAAACAGATTTCAGTAAAAATTTCTATACAAATATTAATAATCAAGTAGCATCGACACTGACAAACACTAAACTTTCTTTAAAATCCCAGGAGCTTCAATTGTAGCAGCTGCAGCACAGAGCCTTATGATAGACATAGGCTAAATTATTAAGACTGAGAATATGGGACAAGGTAAACAAGGAAAAGTGAAGTTTACAAGTAAGCTATATCAGAAAATCAACTTCCAGAATATAAACAATTAATTACCACAGCTATAATAAATTTCTTAAGACTGGAAGACAACAAAGTAATTCTTATCACAATATACCAGTAGTAGAAAACAAATTAATTATTCACAGTCTAAGAGGCTTTCCTTGGGGGAGTACACGAGGGGAGGGTGCAAAAGCTTACACAATTGAAAATGTGAAATAAATTCAAACTAAGATTTTATGAAAAAAAATTTAAGAATGTTTCCCTTGAGGGAAAATAATTTTCTACAACTACTAAAAAAATCACCTGTGAAACTGTGCTGTTGGCTGACACAATGGAGGTTTTGGATTCTTTGTAGCAATTGCAGCATAACAAATAGCATTTTTCACAGCATAACTTGAGGGAAAATGTTATCTAGTTTGAAATCATACAGAAAGCAATTAAAAATTATTTTAATTATTCATAATACACAAATTTTTCTGGGTAGCAGCAGTTGCTCCTGTACTTGCCCTTTTATGAAACAGAAGCAATAGAGTAGGGAAACAAACTAAAGGAAAATAAGAGCAGCAGAGTTAAATTAAAAAGCAAATCCTTAAATACATTAAAGAGAGCTTAAAATAAGGAAACAGTATTGTGCAACTCTCAATTAAACTAAGTAAAGTGCACTGCCTAAATATTTACTGATAACATTTTCCCTATGTTGAAAATGCAAAATCTACTTATTGTTATTGTTGATATACATATATATTTATATTTAAAAAGACATTCACTATTGTAGCCCTGATAGCTCTCTTCCAGTATTTTTAACCATTCAGATATATTTTGGGGGAATATTCATTCACATATATTTTGGACATTTGCATATGGGATGAAACAGAGAAAATGAGGTTCATTTCGGGAGGCTGTTCCCTCTGAGTGGGATCCAGGGGTGGGGCGGGTGGAATCCACAGGAGCTATGAGCAGTCAAACAGGCACCATCCCAGTAAGTTGGGAAGCCCCTCAGGGGCCGGGGCCGACTTTGTCACTTGGCTTGACTTGTCGATACCTTCACCCTCATTCTTTTCCTCCCCACTGACCGAAGCGCGTCCCAGAGACTGTGTCAGTCACCCATCAATTTTTCAACAGCTATCTCTAAAAAATGGAGACTCTTTTTCAAAGCCCTATTTACCATTACTATGTAAACTAAATGATAATGAGACAATAATGCACCATATTCTATTACCGTTATTATGTCAAATACATAATGTCTTAATATTATAAAATGTCTGGTCAGTGTTCACACTCCCCCCGTTACACTGGTCAGTGAGTTCTCTTCCTCTCCATTTTCCACTCTTCCTCCGTCCTCTGTGAGCCCCTCTCATCCCACCTAACCCCTCAGCTTGCTCAAGTCAAGAGCCACATAAAGCCGTGGGTTTCATGGGTTGAAGTCTTCTGAGTCTCCTTGAAGCTGAGGGTTTTCCCTGGGATCCCGTGGTCTGTAACACTGGATCCTGAGCCACTGGGTTCTCTGTGGTGTGTTCTGCTCTCTGGTGCAGCCAGTTGTGTCCCGTGATGTCACATATGCTTCCCTGGCACCTCCAGGCAGCTGGCGTGGGACTGAGCCTGGACAGAGTAGGTGGGCGGGCCTCAGGGGGGCCGGGCCACTGGGGCTGCTGAGGTAAATGGCTTTTTGTGGGTGCACATTGGCCTTTTGTCTGTGCTACTTCTTTGATGCAGGGCACAGTTGAATAATCGTGACAGAAATTGTGAGGCCCACAAAGCCTAAGATATTTACTCTCTGGCCTTTTGCACAGAGAGACAGCAGACCCCTGGGCTGGGGCTCGGCCACACTCGGGGTGCTGGTCTCTCGTGCCATTGGTAGCCGTGGGTGAGTGTGCGGCCTGTGAACTGATTCAGTGGTGTTGGAGTGAATTATCGCTCTGCCAGTGACCCTGGAGGCTGGGGCAGGAGGATCACAAGTTTAAGGCCAGCCTCAGCCACTTAGCAAGATTCTGTCTCAAAAGAAAGAATAAAAAAGGGCTGGGAATGTAGCTGCAGTACTGTGGATTGAACCCAGCCGGGGCTTCTCACAATGGTGTTCACTGGAATGTTCCCACCATGGAAATCAGACACTTCCCTGTTTTTTTTTTTTTTAATCCACTGTTTTCACAAGTCCAGGTTCCCCAGGACAGATTTTGAAATTCTAGCAATTCTAAGGTTATTCTAGGAAATTCTGCTGTTTTGAACAGGCGGCTGTTCTGAGAGCCGGGGTGAAGCGGTCTCTGTCTCATGGTACCCATCGGTTTTCCACGCTCACAGGTGGCCGCGGAGACCAGAGCGGTCATTGCCTGGATGGAAAAGATCCCCTTCGTGCTGGGTGGCAACCTGCAGGGGGGCGAGCTGGTGGTGGCCTACCCCTACGACATGGTGCGCTCCGCGTGGAAGACCCAGGAGCACACGCCCACGCCCGACGACCACGTGTTCCGCTGGCTGGCCTACTCCTACGCCTCCACCCACCGCCTCATGACGGACGCCAGGAGGAGAGTGTGCCACACAGAGGACTTCCAGAAGGAGGAGGGCACCGTCAACGGGGCTTCCTGGCACACCGTCGCCGGAAGTAAGTCTCATGGCCCTGGGGGACATCACGAGGCCACGCACTCACAGACAGCTGGCCCCACAGGAAGGGCACAGGCGACCCTCAGTGCCATCACCAAAGATCGCTGCATAGACCCTCCTTTACTCCCGCCTGGGTCTGGGAGGTGGTTACTCTCCTTTTATAAGTGAGATAACGGGGCCTTGGAGACCGGTGGGGGTCTGCCAAGCAAGAAAGGGGTAAGTTGGGGTCTGCCTGACCTTGCTCTTGGCCACTGAGCTATGCAGATGTTATAGGATCACAGGTGGGCGAAAGTGGACTTAGTGGTGGTGTGGGACCCCAAAGAAAGGTTGTGAAGGTTGGTTAAGCCAATGATGGATTTGGAAAACACTCTACATCAGAAAGACCTGGATTCAAATTCACCTCTATCACTGAGAGGCTGTGTGACCCTGAGCAAGTTAGTTTACCCCCCTGAACCCCTATATGTTTCCATTAGTAAAGTTGACATGATGGAGGTCATGGTGGTGGCGATGGTGATGTCCCCTGAGGGGTGTCTTGAGAAGGTGGAGGGGTGGGCTGCTCAATGTCTGGCGTCTCAGAAACCCTCAGGGCAAGTTCCCATTCCTGCCCTTTTCTTCTTTCAGGGCAGATTCACTGTGAATCTCTTTTTTGATTATCTTCTTATTCTCTGTTCACTGTACCAATGAGTTTTCATATGACTTTACTTGGCTTTAAATTTCGCCTTCACATGATTTTCATGTATATTTCCACCCTTGGGAAAGAAAAAAAGTAGAACTATGTGTTTCCATGGCCATTTTAAAACTCCCCGACTCTTTCTCCATTGTACACCAAGTGGAGGTGTTCCCTCTTGTCTCCACCATGATTTTTGCCTCATATGAAATGTTGAAGATCTGCAGATCCCGTCCATCAGGAAGAGTCCCTAGGGGCAAGTCACACTTCACACGCTCAGTTTTAGCCCCAGGACCCCACCTAGGGAAACCTTCAAGTGCAGCGGTTCAGGGGTTGCTGTGACTACGCTGGGTGCGGTCGCAGTGGGATTGGGGTTGGGTCACCGTCAGCGTCACGCAGAGTCAGCTGTGCCTGACCCCTCTCTTGCTTGGCAGACCCCCACCGGTCTCCAAGGCTCAGTTATCTCACTTATAAAAGGAGAGCAACCATCCCCCAGACCCAGGTGAGAGTAAAGGGGGGTCTATGCAGTGATCAGGGCTGCGTTTTTCTCTCTCAATTATATTTCCCATTATTCCAGGGACCTGGTGACGGAGCCCTTGGTGGCTCGGGCCTTTTTAATCATCCTCCCTCGCGAAGGGTGACAGTCTGCAGGCGTGTCCTTTGTAGGTTAATGAAACGTGATTTCTCACTCTCACTTTTTGTCCAGTTCTTCCTGGTTAATGGGGGAGGGAGAGCTGAGAACCAGCCCAGTCAACTTCACAAAGCCACCATGGGCACTGTGCGCATGGAGCACCACGGTGACAGACGTTGGGTTCCCCGTCCCAGGCCTCTGGTCCTGTGCCTTGTCCTCCAGGGAGGCAGGTGCACAGAGCTCTGAGGAGCGTGTGGCCCTGTGTCCTCCATGAAGCTGGTCCAGTCTGAGAACACCAGGGGATGACCCCCACCCCAGCCAGGACTGGAGGCCTGACAAGCGCTGCCCGGTGCCGCAGCGCCTCGTCCCCTATGCTCTGATGGAGGAAGGTGGCTGTGGGAGCCGTCCTCGCAGGGCCTGGCCCTGGATGGCGTCAGCAGCAAAGCCGGCCTGGCCCGAGCTTCCCCCAGTTCTGCTTTCTCATCCTGCTGCTCAGGCTTCCCGACCTTTAGAGACATTTGCAAAACGTCTCCTTATCACCTCATCAGTACTGCAAGGCCCGAGAGGGTGGCCACAGGCACTCTGTGTGCCATGAGATGTCCGGCCCCCCGTGGAGAGCCGTGCTAACCCAAGTGGACACTGCCCTGGCCCCGAGGCCCTCTGCAGTCCCTCTGAGGACTTGCCTGAGTGAATTGACTGGGCACAGGGCCAGCTTTCTGCAGCCAGGCCAGGCCCTGGCGGAGGACTCACATTCCCTGACACAGCCACGCCGTCCACCGCTCCTGTCCTTCCTTCTTTTATCACAATTAGTGACCAAAGCCCATTGCTGCTAGCTTCTGAGTGATTGGAACCCAGAATCTGGTAGAGAGTGGCTTTTGCACAAATATTAGGTGAGGCGCTGGCTTCACTGGTGGCCCCCCTACTTGGGAATGTCACCTTATTGGGACCATGGTCTTTGAAGTTGATTACACTAAAGACCTCAAGATGCAGTCATCCTGGGTCACCCTGAGAAGTGTCCTTATAAGGGACAGAGGAGACCATGTAGAGACAAGGCAGAGAGAGGGGAACACCTGGGCCACCAAGAGCAGAGAGGCAGAAAGGGAGCCCCCAGAGGCTTTGGGGGAGCACCTTGATCTCACACGTCCAGCCTCTAGACCCACGGGGAGTGAGCTCCAGTCCGTTTTAAGCCAGACGCGGCCCTTAGCAGCTGCAGGCTGGGAACCTTGCACAGAGCCTGTCTGCCTGCCCGGGCAGCCGCTGGCACCCTGTTTAGTCGTGCTTGGCCATGTGGGACGTGGGGGTTGTCTGCTTGGGGCTTGCGAGGTGGGCATGATTGCCCCGCAGTCCACAAGAAGGGACTCGTGGTCTGGAGATGAGAGCAAGGGCTGTCACCAGGCAGACCTGGGCCCACAGTCTAGATCTGATTCTGATCATTCGTGGTCTCAGTCTTCTTATGTGTAAAAATGTGCCCTCTGCGTACCTCTGGTGCTTGGGTGGGGGGGATACAGTGACTCCTCCAGGGGATGCAGGGGACCTAGGACAGGCCCTGGATGACAGAAGGCACTCAGTAAAACATGGCATGGAATTACGCCAATTTTATGGCTCAGAGTAGGAAATGGCTGAAGCTGAGGTCCATGTGGCTGTGGAGATAGATTTAATTCAACACTTCAGAGCCCCACAGTGTTAATGACTGATAGTGGGTTAAACTACCTTGATAAAATAAGTACATAAAAGCACCTACTCCAGCCCTTCCTCTGTCAGTGACGCCTCGGGCATGTCCTCCCCTGGGCCCTTCCCCCACTCCCTGCCCACTTCTGTGGCCCTCCAGGTGCTGGTCAGTGGTAGGTGCTCGATGCCTCTGGGTTTAGTGACGCCCTCCGAGTGCTCGGGAACACCCCTGCTGGCTCCCCTGCCGCCAGGAGCACAGTTCAGGGAGAATGTCCCTTGGCTTGGCAGGTCTGAACGACTTCAGTTACCTGCACACGAACTGCTTCGAGCTGTCCATCTACGTGGGCTGCGATAAGTACCCGCACGAGAGCGAGCTGCCCGAGGAGTGGGAGAACAACCGGGAATCGCTGATCGTGTTCATGGAGCAGGTGTGGCGGGGCGCGCGGCTGGGGTGGGGCAGCCGAGGAAGGGGCTGTCCTGTGGCTGAGGGCGTGGGCTGAGTTAGTGCTCCAGATCCGGCCATCACCCTGGCCGTCACCATGGCTGTCACCCTGGCCAGCCACAGTGCTGCCCGGAACCTTGGCCTGTCTGCACTTGGCCAGAGCCCGGGGCGGGGTCGGGGGGGAATGCTCCAAACTAGTGGGGCTCCTCCTCACGCTGGTGGCACAGGCAGTGCAGGGCTCTCGGGCGCTGTATGGGGAGTGGGTGACATTGTCTGAGCAGGTGTGCCCACAGCCCGTGTCGACTGGTGGCTCCAGGGGCAGTCCTGGAGCTGGAAGGCCAAGAGTAAGGTCAGCAGGTGGCTTCCTCTGATGCTGCTCTCTGTGGCCTGAAGGTGGTGGCCCTCTTGCTGCCTCAGGAGGTCACTCCTCTGATCATGTGCATCTGTGCATGTCCAGATCACCAGTCCTGCTGGATCAGGGCCCATGGCTTCATTTGACAGCCTCAGTCGGAGGCACTAAGCTTCACATGATAAACGTTGGGGGGGTCCAGTGCAGCCCATGATACCCCCAGGCCTTCAGAGTCACCGTTGCAGGGTGTGGCGTGAGATGACTGGAAGCACTTTTACCAAGGTCCTGCAGCCAACTGATGAGGCCCTGAGTCTTCACCGGGCCCCTGGAACACCTTCCCTGCCGCGTGTTCTCAAGACACACCCATGACGGAGCATGAATGAGTCAGCCAGGTCTAACGCTAAAGCTAGCTGCATCATAAAGAGGCCCAGACTTCCTGGAGATCAGGGGGATATGCCAGCATGCATAGTGAGCCCAGGACTCCACCAGCATACCAATTAGATTCTGCTTAACCCCCGCTGGAGGAAGGACAGTCCTGGGGGGCTGCACACAAGGTGCCCTCCTGTGGGTTATTGTATATGAGTCAGAAGCTGCAGGCAGCGCGTGGCTTGGGTGCCAGCTTCCTGGTGCCTGTGGCTGCACCTCTGCACCTGGAACTGACCTCTCAGTCTGCCCCACGAGGTCCCAGGAGCCTCAGCACAGCCCCAGTGAGCTTCCCTGGCATAAAAGATGCAAGCCAGTCTGCTCTCTTGAGAAGCCATGAAAACATGTCTGTCCCGACCCGGGAATTCGTGAGGGATGGCACCTTCCCCTTTGCACTCGAGACTTGACTGCAGCAACTCGTCATTCTGAAGCAATGATCTGACTTAGCCAAAGAGCCTCCTGTGGATACGAAGCCTGGGCCCAGTTGTATTCATAAAGAATGTCTTTGGAAATGAGGACATGTCACCTTGGATCACCATGTCATCCTACACCGGGGGCTCGAGGCAGGAGGTTCAGAGTTGACATGTCTCCTGATACAGCTGATGAGCAGAAGGTGCCCAGGCACAGTGGGCCTTTCTAGAAAGGCCTCAGTTCTTCTCTTTCCTCTCTGACTCTTCAGTCATTAAGTCCAAAGAGCCCAGGGAAATCCAAATAAATGTGTCTTATCAACATTAAGTTTTAATTTTGGGTGGGTGTATTTTTATGAACTCTTGGATCCTGATGTTTTTTAAGTCTGTGGAATATTTTAATTTTAAAGGGAAACTTTCTGGTGCATGGACCCCTAAATCGAATTCAGGAAAATGCACTGGGTCCGCGCAGAGCCAGGGTCCTTGGGCTGGCCTGGTGCAGGGAGCGTGCTTGCTTGGCAGGGACGGGGCTGGCTGGAGTTTGGGCCACTTCCTTGTGCTGAGTGTGCAGAGCTCACTGTGTCTCCCCATGTCCCGAGCAGGTTCATCGTGGCATCAAAGGTCTGGTGAGAGATTTGCATGGAAAGGGGATTCCAAATGCCATCATTTCCGTAGAAGGCGTTAACCATGACGTCCGAACAGGTAACGGGGAATGTCTGTAAACTGTCTTTCCATAAGAAATACCTGTGTTCTTGAGGTGTTTCAGTTCTGATCATGACCCGAGTGCCAGAAACTCCTTGCTCAGAGCTAAAATAGAGTCTCCTCCTTTCCCTTTCCCAAGCGACCCCGGGGAGCCGGGTTTTCAGCCTCTGCTTCTGGCTTCCTGGGATGGGCTTGGAGCAGCCTTTGGCTTCTGGCTGCAGTGGAAGTTTCTGAGAGGTGGAGGAGGCAGCAGCTCCTTCTCCCCTGGGTCATTGCCTGTGCAGCAGCTTGGCACCCAGGTCAGCAGGATGAGCCCTGATGGGTAGGGCAGACAGGCGCCCCTAAAGGGAGACGCTGTAGACTTGGGTGTTCCTGCTCATGGAGGACCTGGTGGGGCTGGGGTGGAGCCATCAGAAAGGACGCATCCAGGGAGCAGCTGGGGTGGGGCAAGAACCTGGCCTTGACTGCAGATCAGAGAGGATGCAGTTTTTTTGTTGAACCACGGAAATGACCAAATGTGCTTTAGGATATAAAGCGGAGGATCACAATGAGCCCACATGCTGTTTTGGCATCTCCCGCCTGCTGGACACTCTCCATAGCTTTGCGTGGGTTGACTCCTGTCTTTATAATGCTGGTCGCTAGGCGAGGAAACGAGGCACGTGAAGAAGTGCAGCAGGGAGACCCAGCTCCCATCTGCTGAAGGACAAAGGGGCTGGGCTGTTAACTCTTGAGGGACCACCCATTGACTTCCATTTTAGTGAGTGTGGAGAATTCAGAATCTTGGATACTCTAAGGGCTAGAAGATGATATCTAAAAGGCAGTACTGAAATCTTATTCCAACTCTTTTGCAATACCCAGTCTTGCAAACTTGGTTTCCAGTTCCTAAAATACCAAAGTAAACTCACACTTTTTTCTTTCTTTCTTTTTCTTTCTTTTTCTTTTTTGGCTCTTGGGATTGAACCTGCCTGGCAGGGGTGCTTAACCATGAGCCATATCCCCCGTCCTTTTTATTTTTTATTTTGAGACAGGGTCCTGCTAAGTGACCTAGGGCTTCGCTAAGTTGCTGAGGCTGGCTTTGAAACTTGCCATCCTCCTGCCTCAGCCTCTTGAGCCACTGGGATTACAGGTGTGTGCAGCTGCTCCCGGCTAACCTCACACTTTCAAATGCATTCATGGTGTGACCACACAGTCTCAGGAGAGCAAAGGACTGACTCTCCCCAAGTCCCCCGGGTCACTCAGATGCAGCAGTGGCATGATGCTGTCTCATGTGACCTGTTCCCCACTCCCTGAGAACATCCGCACATGTTCTTTCTTTTCTTTTTTTGTGCTATCCCTGTGAGGGAGACAGCCCATTCTTTCCCCTGTTCAGGTGACAAGCAGAAGCTCCAAGAGGCTAGTTGGCCCCATGGAGTTTCCAGAGATGAGCTGGGTTTGCATTCGGGTCCCTACTCCAGGTTGGGCTGGAGTGTCACCTGCAGGTGTTCTGTAGCATCCACTGGTGACTTGAAAGTGATGTGGAAAGAAGGTGCTCCCACGGTCAGGGTTTCAAGCCCTCAGGTCCCAGCACTGTCATCACCTGGGAGACCTCAGTTTAAAACTGAAGATGCCAAGTTCCAGGAATCCCCAGTCCCTGGCAAACAGGGGTGGTGGCTCCTTCCACAGGGCTACTCGCAGTTCCTTTGGGCTGAGCCCACGTCAGGGTTGTCACCATAGCCCCTCCTTCTGCCTGGACCTTCTTCCCCCAGGGAGTCCTTGGCTCCTCCCTCAGCCCTGCCCAGGCTGCTCAGGTGTCACCACTCAAGGCAGCCATCGGTGACCACGACCTAACACTATGCACCAGCCCGCCCGCCCTGACGGTCCCTCTTAGCACCCAGCTTTGTCTGGGGAACGTCTGTCTTCTCACATACTATCCTTGAACCCACGGGGCCGTCCTCACCGCTCACAGCTGTCAACGGATCCTGCCCTCCAGCTGTGGTCCATTCAACTGCGAGGAGACACAGACCCTGGGACATAGGAGGGGACACAGGCGGGGTCCACCCTGGCCTTGGGTTCAGTGCCACTGATTTAGATGGAAGAATCATGTCTGAAACGCCACCGCGTGGTAGACGGCCTTGTTGGGCCGTAAATTGCATTCTTCCCATTTAGTTCTGACTATTTCACTCTGCATTTTCGGAACCTTTTTACCATTTACCATCCCGGATCCGACAGCGGCTGACCCGAGGCTTCTCGCCTCATTGCTCGTGACTTTGCACACGGCAGCCCCTCAGAGGCTCCGCCTTCAGTTGTTCATCTGTTAGTTCAACAAATGTGAACCCAGGACCGTGAGGTGCTAGAGACGGGTCTCTGGCGGTCACTATGAATGAGGGAGGCCATTGGGTCTGGGTCTGCATAGGATTGGTATCTTAAATATCCCTTAAGCGATCCTTTAAAACAGCGATTAGTAAAGGCGCCTGGGTCATTCCTTGGACTATTTAGTGCCTGGGAGGCAATGAGAGGGTTTTCAACTGAGTGGGAGGGAGGGAGGCCCTGGGCCACAGAAGCCTGGCTGAGCTCTGCATTTGAAGCCCCTGGATTCAGGGAGGCAGTTTGGATGAGCTGATGGGACGTGCACTTATTCCCCCCGTAAGCGATTTCCCAGTGTGTTCTCCTGACAGGCGTGTTCCATACTTTACATGTCCTGTTCATTTTATTGGTCTCAGTGTCTTTGGGAGCTCAACAAAAGCTCTGAATTTGCCTTGATTTCTATCTGACACTTATTTGACCAGTTTTATTGACAAGTTTTGTTTCAGGAGGATTTTGCATAAAATAAACAGACAAATTCCACAGGGAGCCAAGCGCCCAAGGATGCTTTGGAAATGCACATGAACGTGTTGCTAAACACCTGACTTGGAATTCCACTGTGGACTGTTCTTGTTTGGTTGATACCAACCTGACCTGTTAGTGGATGGACCTTCATGGGCCTGGGCTGCCCCTGCTGTTCACAAATGCCCAGTGATGCCACTCCTTATCCCTCCCCACTGTGGCTGCTTGGGGTGTTCACCCCTGACACCAGCAGATCGCTCAGGGGGATAGGAACCCGCCACATCCAGTATATGTTCATTTCTGGTTGTCAGGGGTAGGAGCAGAGATAACAACCTTGGGGATAAGGTGGGGAACCCCTGGCCAGGAGCTCCCAGGGATAGAGCGCCTGCCCGGCCCAGGTGAGAATCAAGCAGGTCAGGTTTCAGAAGTGGACACTGTCAGAGTACAGAGCCACACTTCCTGTTCACATCTTCCTGATAATTCTGTTCATTCTTCCAACACGTCTCACTGAGCACCTACTAGGTGCCAGACTGGAAATGCTGCAAGAGAAAAGAAGGGGACTCCTCTCCCCAGCAATGTGCCTTCTCATGGAGGCCTGCAAGTGAGGATAAGGGAAAGACTTCAAGTTCAGTGCAGACCATAATCAGGGCCAGGAAAGAGGGGAATGTGGAAGAGCTGGGAACAGCACTGCAGCTGGAGGGAAGGGTAGCTACTGAGTCAAGAGTCCAGGAACAAAGAGAAGCTGTGTGGCTGGAGTGGCCACTGTGGGCAGTGGCCAGCGATGAGGTGGGCAGGGCCACAGGCCTGAGCGGGGTTTTGCTGAGTGCTTAGCTCTCACGTGAGTAGGGACTCCTCAGCTGACAGGGACACTGTCTCCTAGTCCCTGGATACTTGTCTGATCTCCCTGTTGCACAGACATAGCTTCTGCCTGAAGTCACGCCTCCCAAGGAGCCTCCAGCCTGACGGGAACACAGACCCTGGCACCTCAGAGGCTGTGAGACAGAAGAGGAGGCACTGGGGAACGTGGCACGTGGAAGGACAGGGCTTGCTCTGACTCCTCGGACCCTCCAGGCCACTCGTGATGGAGGCTGCTGGGTTATTCCCTTTCCCACACATGCAATGTGATGCCCAGAGAGGTGAACACCTTTGTGTGAGGCCACACAGCTAGTAACTAGCAGGTCTGTCCTGGAACAGCCAGTCTAGAGCTCTGGGAGCGAAGGCTGGATTTGACTGAGTACTAGGCTGACGAGTCCCTTGTACACTTACAACACTCGCAGCATCAGGTTTGAATTCACATTATGGTCTCAGTCATCGGGACACCGCGTGCCACGCAGTGAGCTCTCTGGAGCACAGATTATTATGAAAAGGGAATTTCAGGGGTGTTTGTTTGCCACAGGTGCATGCGGTCTGCTACATGGGGACCCCATGAGAGAGGCCAGGTGCCCCCTACACACACACGGAGGGAGGTGGCTCCCCGTTTTCCCCTGTTCTTCCTTTTGTGAAAGTGCAGGGTTTTCTACAACACAAAATGCCTTCCTGGCTTTTCAGCAGACGAGAGATTCCTGGGGCTCTCCTGGCGCTGAGCTCAGGCAGGTCCCCTTCGAGACGCCTCTGGCTCCCACTGCTCCCTGGGCTGAGCTGAGCGAGCCCCTCCTTCACGGGACCTCCACCCTCCTCTCCTTCACCAGCGCTGTCCTTGAGAGTAATGATGGCCTCCTGCTCCTGTCTTGGCCCATTGCTAGGCTGGGAAGTCCTTCCAAGTGTGTGTCCAGCACTCTGCCAAGTGCCCTCATTGAATGGGATGGAGAGACATGAGGGAACAGGGGACAGACGCCATCTTAGCACAGCGGGTGGATATGGGGAGTCTGCCGTACAGCGGGTGCTCACAGGGATCAGTCAAGGCCTGGGCTGGCCCCTGCCAAAGGCTGTCCTGAGGCACAAGAAGCCAGGGATGGACCCTGGTCACCTGCTGGGTAAGTGGCCTAACTGGGGCCAGGGTTCCACCTTGGGTCCAGCCACAGCTTGTGAGCTCAGGGCGTCTCTGCCTCATGGCCGCGCTCTGTCTCCCTCAGCCCCAGCCATGGAACGGTGGCTGTGGAGTGGCCGCAGGTACCAGCCCCTCCGGGTTAGCCCGTTCCTCTTTTCAGAGGTGAAGAACCTCAGCCCTTTTAGAAACTGTTTCCCTGTATTTGTAGCCATGCCAAGGACATCAGGAGGCCTGATGGCGTTACACTGTGAGTTCAAGTTCATGATGAATGGCTGGTACTGCCACAGAGAGAGGAGTGGTCACGATCATTAGGGGTATAGTGCATCCCAAGCCCCTTCCTGCTGAACCCATTACGGCAGCTTCCAGTAGAGGGAGAGATCTTGGCCTCCAGAATGCACTAGGGCTTGCTCTGCCCGCTCTGGCTGGGCTCAGAGGCTCTCTGCGGGGGGCAGTCTTGGAACAGGCCACTGGTATTTGTGTTAGAAAAGAACTGCTCTGAGCCGCCCTGGTTTCTCTTCACAGCCAGTGATGGGGATTACTGGCGCCTCCTGAACCCTGGCGAATATGTGGTCACGGCCAAGGCCGAGGGCTTCACCACCTCCACCAAGAACTGTATGGTCGGCTACGACATGGGGGCCACGCGGTGCGACTTCACGCTCAGCAAGACCAACCTGGCCAGGATCAGGGAGATCATGGAGAAGTTTGGGAAGCAGCCTGTCAGCCTGCCTGCCCGGCGGCCAAGGCTGCGGGGGAGAAAGAGACGGCAGCACGGGTGGCAGCACGGGTGACCCTCCTGGACGGCTGAGACTCGTCCCAGACTCTTGCGAAGGAAACCCACCCTAGTAGTAGCCTGTAGAGGACTCGCTCAAGCTGTTTTCTCTGTAATTCAAGAAGCGTCTGGGGAGGGGGGAGGGTGTGCATTGGAGGTTGATCTGATGCTGGAGGCTTAGGATGTTTTCTTTCCATTTTTCCAAATACCTTGGACAGAGCAGCAAAGAAGGGCTGGAGGGGGCAGAATTCGCCAAGTGAACCCCAGGAGCGGAGGGAGCCACTCTGGGTTCAGGGCCCCCCGGCTGCGCGTGGAGGGGCCAGGGCTTCCCCGCTTGCGTGACAGCAGGAGTTTCCTCTGCATTTGCGATTGGCACAGCTGATGTTGCAGCACTCCTGAGCCTGCCGTCCCCAGTGCTACCATTCGGGATGCTCTTGGGTGCCCTTAGAGAACCCGCCCTCTCTGGCTGGCCCCAGGACATTTCGAGCTGCTACAAATAAATGCTGCACTCCCACGACAATAGGGACATTACCAAGTGAACATCAGTGGGCCTCGGGGTCAGCCCAGTATCCCTTTTCAGCAAAGATTGTGTCCACAAAAGGGGACAGAAGTGCTTGCTGGGAGCCAGGCAGCACTGGGCTTGTCGCGTGCAAGCTGGGCCCCAAGCCCCCAACTCCCTGCTGGCCCAGCAGGCATGGGGGTCAGTGTCTGGGGCGGAGGAGAACCAGAGGTGCCGGCCTTCCAGAGGTGCCACATGAGTTAGTCTGGGTCTCCTCTGTGTCCTGCTGGGACTTGCAAACAGCCAGGAGAAGGTCGGCCTCCCAGCCTCTCTCTTCTCCCGCTCTCAGCCTCCCCAGCTGACCTGTCAGGTGGGAGTTAACTTTTGATGTGTGGAATGCAGGTCTTCCTCCTAAGACTGAAGCCCCTGAGAAACCCCGAGGCTTACCCATGGAGCCTCAGAGAGGGAGGGCTCATTGGGTTATCAGCAAGCAAACAGCTATGTGTCACTTTTTATTCGTGTTGCTGCCTCATTGATCTGGGAAGAATGGGAAAAAATAAAGAAAACAAATGGTAAGAGTCTCCCGGTGTGCCTTTTCTGGATGGTCTGGTGGCCACCCATATGCTACTGCCATTGCCTGTCTCTGAGGTCAGTCACCCTAGAAGAGCTGCCTCCTGGACCCCTGTAAAACAGCAATGGCACTGATAGCTCTATGTTCCCCACCCCGTTCCCAGGACAGACAAGTGGTGGGGACACGCAAGTGCCTCCTACAAATGCCAGTGAGTGTCTCTGCAGTAAAGTCCTCATGCAGCTTTGTGATGATCTGCACCAGGACTTGGCTGACTTCTGATAAGGATGACATCATCAGGATGGGAGGCTGTGCAAGCCGTGTGGTCTCTGTGTAACTGCTCGGCTCTGAATGTGCACATACATCAATGAGTGGACATGGCTCTGGTCCAGTGGACCTTATTTACCCCAACAGGTGGCAGCTGGATTTGGCCCACAGGCTGGGGCATCATCGACTCCTGCTGTAAACCCGTGTTGTCCAATAGAACTTCCTGAGATGGTGGACATGCTCTGTTCTGTGCTATCTAATGGTAGCTGCTAGCCCCGTGGGGATGCCGAGCACCTGAATGTTGGCTGGTGAGACTGAGGACCAGGATTTTCTAGTGTTATGTAATTCTAATTAATCTAGATTTAACTTTGAGTAGCCATTTGTGGTTGGAGGCTACATGTTGGGCCACACAGCTCTCAGCCAAGCCCTTCCTAAGAAAATCCCACCCCTCAGCATTAGAGCTGTAGATGCAGCTATAAAACACTTAAAATCGTAACCCCCACTCCCCAACCCCCCCAACCCCCTCTCCCAGGTCGATGGCTCCACATCTGCTCAGGAAATGGTGGATTTGTGGGGTCTCTGCCACGCCTGACCTGGAAGCCGAGCCCTGGCACTTGGTGCCGTGGAGCCTCAGGCTCACGGGCAGTGTTGAGCCCTGAAGTGTGCAGGGCCACCGCACGGTCCCTAGCCTTTACGCAGGCCTCCGTCCTCCCTGCAGACCTTCTCCGTCAGGCGCCACAGACTCTAAACAGAGCTCTGGCCTCCAGGGCTGGCAGTGCCCTCAGGTGTGTGGTCTCAGGCAAGCCCATCCTAAGAGACAGAGACTGTTTCTCTTTTGCTGCCGCAAAGCGAAGCCCTGGGTTTGATGAACTCCGAAGCTCAGGCTGGCTGGGATGTTCCCTGGTTTTTAGAGCTCTGCTCTCAGGAGTCGGGAGTGGCCTCTCTCCTGGGCCCTCTCCATGCACAGCGGCTCCTCGCAGGGCCTTCAACCCGGGCCACCTCCCCGGGCCCAGCCCCTGGGCTTTGACCCCTACCTGCCGTTCTCAGGCGGAGTTGTGCTCCCAGCCCTCGCCTCCGGCTCTCCCAGGCAGCCCTCCTTCCTCTCAGGACCTCCATGCTCTGGGACAGTCTGCCCTCAGCACCTCTCAGAGGAGTTGTCCTTCTACAGGCCTCGCTGCCCTGGGTCTGGAAGCCAGGCGGGGCCAGGAAGGTCCGCTGGGGTGTGGGCTGTCCCTGGGAGTCAGCAACCCTCCGCCCCATTGCCTGGAGTCCTTCAGAAGAGCCTTCAGGATACAAAGCATTTGAAAGCTCAGGCCTTGGGGCCGGGTCTGGGTTCCCAAGGGCAGGAGCAGTGACCCCCTTGGTATCTGTCCCCCAGGGCCACGCTTTGCTCACAGCAGGTGTGAGTACTTGTGCGGGGGACAGTCTATGCCACCCGGAGCCTTGGTTTTTAAGATTCCCTTACAAGTTGAGAAAATGTGACTTCAGACATTGAAAGCCGGTGATTTGAATTTATCGAATGTGTATTTACCTCTTGAGTTTCACTTGTATAAGCCAATCTTGGACTTCACTGAGTAGAAACACTATCCATTCAGAAGATGGGGGGTCTGTTTTGTTTCAAATGTCCTTCTATAGGATAAGATCAGCCTACAGAGAATCTACTATTGTTTGTCATCTGTATTCCCCACTCAAGTCCCAGGTGGCTGCACTGCCATTTGACTGCCACCTCTGTTTCATGCTGAGACTATTTGTATGGGACTGGGGATTGAGCCCAGGGATGCTTAACCACTGAGCCACATCCCCAGCCCTTTTTACTTTTTGCTTTGAGACAGTTGCTAAGGCTGGCTTTGAACTTGCAATCCTCCTGCCTCAGCCTCCCAGGTCTCTGGGATTGTAGGTGTGCACCCCCGCCTGGCCCTATTGAAGGGTTTTGAGGGGCTGTGTGGAGCAGAAGCTCAAATCAGAACTATTCAGTGATCACAGCTTATTTTCTGTGAGTTTGGGGCACAGTCTTTCACAGGACTCAGTCCCTGCACAAAGGGATGTTACAGAGAACTGTAGAACTGCAACACGTGGTTACCCTGTGCAATCAGCACGGGTCTGAGTGGCATTGGATTCCGGTGGTATTTTGCATGGCAAGGCCAGAAAGGTCTCCCAGAGTTGCAGTTTCAGGATAAGCTCTGAGTGGCACCACCCTGCCGGAGAAGCTTGGGTTTCCATACCATTTTGGGTTGGTGTCCCCATACCCAGTGGGCAGCCACAGCAGTGGGGGTGGCCGCTACCCGCAAAGCCACAGCCCAGTGGGACCAGCCAGCTGCTGCTGAGACCTATGGTTCCTGGGCTGACCTGTTCTGAGGCTGTGGCGGCTGGTCCTTCTGACGGTGGATCCCCATCACTTAAACACATCCCCAAGTGACCAGGGCACAGAAAGTCCCCAGAAAATTAGGAAAATAAAAATCTAAGAACTGAAACACGTGGGTGAAAGAATCTTTGGGTTGCTTCTGGTGTGTGCAGAGGAGAGCAGGGTGCCTTCCTTGGAGCTGAGGGCCACTTCTGAGACCAGTGCCTGCAGACTGACTCATCAGGCATAGTTACTTGGAACTTGGTGTTAAGGAGGGTTCTGAGGCAGAGTTCCGGCTCCGTGGGAAAGACTGCTGTGATTGATTAGCCACGCTCTCTGGGTGTGGGAAGGGGTGAGAGCGGGAAGGCAGCCTTTAGGTCCAGCCCCCACCCGCCCCCTCCAGACAGGAAAACTGAGCCCCTGGGAGGGCCATGGATCCCCCAAAGGCATGTTCCACTAAGGGCAGGAAAGCTGCCAGCCTGGGAAGCTGTCTTGAGGTCCTGACAACCCTGGGGTTTGACATCTTGGCCTGCAGGGCCTGACTTTCTCAGGAGCAGCTCATGCCTCCAGGCAGTGACAGAGCATCCCGGGCCACAGGCCCCTTTTGGAAATGACAGGAATGAAGAAGGAGCCCTCGTTGGCTCAGCATGTGCAGGAAACCAGCAAGGAGCAGGTTACAGCAAAGCCCTGAAGAAGCTGATGGGGCCTGATTCCTGTGTCACAGCTCCAGGTCGGGGTGGGACCACCTGACAGCCAGTGATCTTCTGACGGCCCGTCACACTTGGTTTTCCACTGGTGACGCTCCTGGAGGTGCAGCTTCCGTATCCCTCACTGCCCTGTCCACCCCATGTGTCGGGAGGTCAGCAGCACACCGGCAGCGTCGTGAGCACAACCTGGCCCGGGAGGGGATGGCGGCCCTGCTCGGTGCTCACTGGTGCCGGGTTTTGCAACGCCGTGCCTCGTGCACTTGCCTGGATCCGTGGGAGGGCTCTCCCTGGAGCTGCCCGCAACCCCTCTGGAGCAGCCTGAGCAGGGAGGATCTGACATGTGAGCCCATCCTGGGAGTCCAGCACCTACCAGCTGGACTTGCCTCCAGGTCCTTCCGAGTAGCCTTCAACAAAGCCAGGTGTTTGAGAGTCTCATCCTTGGGGCTCGGGATCTGGGTTTGAGTCCCAGCCCTGCTATGCTCCCTGCACGGCTGTGGGTGAGTTATGAGCCTCAGTTTCTCGTGTGTAAAATGGGCAGAGTAACTTACCTCACATGTAAGCCTGGGGAGGAGACAGAGGCCTTGAGGAGAGGCAGCCCCAGGTCTTCAGAGGAAGGAAGAAGCCCACCAGTCCCTGCACCACTCGGGGGTCAGTGGGATCCAGAGCAAAGGGCTGGAGCTTTGGGGAAGGTGGGCTC